GTACGACCCAGCGTGCTTTGAATTTTTCGATCGTGCCGTCTGCTTTCGTCTTGATGCGGAAGACCCATTTCCCGGTAAGGATGGTTTTGTTCCGTGCCACGCTTACGGGAACAACCTTCCAAGTGTTGCGTTCCTCTAATGCCTTCAGTTCTCTATCCATGGCTTCACGCCATTTCTCCCTGTGTTCCCCCCCCAGAGCCTGCTGAACCGTTGCAGGCTCCTTAGGAAGCGAGCTGCGTGTGTTCCCGTGGACTGCGGTGACGAGGCCGAGGATTTGCAGCCCAGTCTGTGAGTATCGAGGGAGTTCTGGATCCTCGGGATAAGCTGCTTCGTCTCCCGTTTCTGGGTCGGGCATGAAATTTGGCCCTACCCTTTCTGCTTCGTTGGTGTTGACTGTCACAGGTGTTACGTAACCATCGTCGGCGAAACGGTAGAAGATTTCGGCGTTGTTACTGTCGCGAGGATTATCCTCATCCATGGGCACGTCGACGGAGCAGTATGGGAGAGGTCCGGCTTCTTCTGAGGCGTTGTCGACGTTCTGTTCATCCCAGTCTGCTTCGTCCGCTGCTGACGCGAAGGCTCGGTCACCACGAAAACCACTGGTGAGGTCCCGATTCTCGTGCAAGTTGGCGAGGTACGTCTGAAGGGTGAGTCTTTCGTAGAAGATCACGTCACGTGCTGCTACTGTTTCCTTTGTGTGGACGTCGAAGATTTTCCATGCGTTGTAATTTTTCTCGATGCCGAGGTGTAGTCCCCACTGTGCCCGTTGCGAAAATCTTCCCGCTCGTGCTTCTGGGGGTCTGTACTGTACCATGCACCCGAAAACTCGTAACATTTTCGTGCTGCCCTGCTTCCCTGTCCACAGCAGATGCGGTGATGCGTTGTTCGGGAGTGACGACGACGACAACAAGTTGTGTAGCATGACAGCGTGGTCCATTGCTGCTGGCCACTGGTGGTTGGGTAGCCGCATGCCACGTAATAGTTTGCGCATGCTGTTCTGCAGGGTCCTGTTCAGTCGTTCTGCAACACCTTGCTGCTGATGTGCGTAAGGAAGGGAGAGGAGTTGCTTGATCCCCCTTTCCGCCAAGAACTGCTTGAAGCGGTGAGAGGTGTACTCGCCACCTCCGTCTGACTGGAATTTTTTCAGTTGTGTTCCAGACTCTCTCTCTGCTATCGGTAGCCAGGCGGCGAATGCTGCGAGCGCCATGTCGCGGCTGGGTAGGTTGCGATGCCAGACGTATCGAGTGGCGGCGTCGATGAAGGTGATGGTGTAGTTGTAGTTGACTTGTCCTGGCTCGCGATTGTAGAGGATGTCGCTGTAGACTTTTTCGAGTGGTGCGTACGCTGGAGCGCTCGGGTTGTGATGTGAAGCAAACGGTCGATGAGGTAAGTCAGCTTCGGGACATATAAGGCAAGTCCCTCGTGCCTTCTGGAGTTCTCTGCCATCGGGTAGAAGTAGAGAATCTTTGTCAAGGACTCCTGCTCTTATCGTGTTATTCAAAACCGTGTTGCTTGGATGTCCTGTTCGTGCGTGCCAGATCTCTTCAGAGGCACGGTGTCCAGGTGAACGCTGATATGCGTCGGAGTTGGAGTAAAAACTGGCGACGAGGTTGGCGCTTCGGTGGACTTCACGTTGAGTCGGATTCAGCTGTTTCGCGGGTGTTGGTGGTGCTTCGTCGACTGTGACTGGTGTCGTTGTTCCTGCTGCTGCTGATGTTGTTGCTGCTGCCGATGTTGTTACTGCTGCTGATGTTGTTGCTGCTGCCGATGTTGTTACTGCTGCCGATTGTCGAATTGTTGCTAATGCTCGTGTTCGTTCTGCTTCAGGAATGGTGTGCGAGTACCAGAAGCCTCCTGGGCTGAAGTCGGGGTCGAGATCCGGAGGGTGTGTCCAGTCAGTGAAATTCACGATGGCGTCGCTGTCTGCAGTGCCCAGGTCAGGAACGAAGTCGAGGACGAAGACGTTGTTCTTCAGCACTGCTTTCCCGATGTAGAGACCGCCTCTCCCGTGGTAAAGTTTGAACTCCTGGGTCGTGCTGTCGGCTTCCAGATGAATTCCTTTCGCCATCAACTGGCTAACGCTCAGTAAGTTGTAGCCGAGTCCTTCAGCGATGAGTACCTTAGACATGTGCAGTATGACATTTGTTTCTCTTGACTGAAGCTGTACCACTCCTTGTCTTCGTGTGCGCAGGTTTTGGTTGTTGGCAACCGTGATGATCACTTCCCGTTGGAGTCGATGTTCGCGTTGTACGAAACGCCCGGACGAGCACATGTGTTGCCCGCAGCAACTGTCCAAGAACCAGGTGTCTTGGCCGGACGGTTCACTTTGAGCGATGGCGGCGTACGTTGGATTCGGCTGGAGTAGCTCACGGCGAGGCGTTCTGTTGTCAAGCTCTTCTTCCGGTGAGTAGTGTGGTGGTGATTCGGTTGTACATGAATCGGTTATCTTCGTCATGCAGTTGATTATATTTCTTGCTCCTTGTGCAGGTTGTCCGGGTGAAGTCGTTGAAGCTTGAATAGTGGTCGTCGCACTTGCTTGTGTTGAAGCCATTTGGGAGCTTGAAGGTCGAAGTTGTCGCTGTGGTGCCGTTGATTGCTGACGATTCGGGCAGTGTGTGCGCGGGTGCCCTGAAGTCTTGCAGATGTGGCAGAAGGGAGGTACTATCTTCGGTTGCTGCTGTCGGTTGTTATAATTGCTGTGTCGTCGTTGAGTGTGGAATGCGAACTCTGATACTGTCGTTTTCTTCCTGTGTCGTTCTTCCTGCAGGTCCATATCTTGCTGCTCGGCATGTATTTCGGCGCAGAGTGCAGCTTCAGAGATTCTTCCGTGGGCTCGAAGAATGGCTTTGGTGGCGCGCCACTGAGGACCAAGCCCACCAATGATGACTGTCACGAAGGCGTCTTCAGAGATTGACCCTCCGCATCGAAGCAGCTTGTCGCGCAGTTCGCGACATCGGCTGATATACGCCAGTCCTTTTTCTCCTGGTTTCATTTCGACTGTCGTCAACTGCGCCATTAACCTGCTCTGGTTTACACTGTCTGTTGCTTGATACAGGTTCTTCAGATGGCTGTACGCGAGCTCCGCCGAGTTGCCGAAGGTCCGGTAAGAGCGAATGTTCTGCTGCTGAGTTGGTGTCACATTCCTCAATAGGATTGTATACGCCATCATTGATTGATACGTATACTGCTGCTTTTCATATTGTGTCCCGTTGGCTGGATACTGCAGGGACCCGTCGAAGAAGCCGAGTATCTGCGCGCCCTCCATCATCAGCTCGAATTCAAAGGACCAGGTAAAGAAGTCTTTGCCGTCGAAGGGTCTTGACGTTTGCAGTTTTAAGACGTGTGCAAACTGCGACTGAACTTGAAGTGCGTCCAGTGGTCTTTCTTGTCCAGGTGAAGGTTGCGGGTGGGGCACGAAGCTGATTGACCCGCGCTCGTACGGAGCAAAGGTAGGTTGCTGCTGCTGGTTTCCTCGCGCATATGACGACCCATCAAGACTCATGGGTGTCGCTGCGTTGTTGCTGTTGTGTGTTTGTGCAGGTCCCGACTGCTGGTGTTGTTCGTAGAAGGACATGAAGGAGAAAAATTTCTCCATCATGTTCTGGTCAAAGTCCGAAGGGTGGTTCATGGGGGTCTCGGTTGACGTTCCTCTTGGTCTTGTTGCCGTGCCTTCTTCTGTCTGCAGGCCAGAGGCTGGCGGTGGAGTAGGAGTAGTGCCCGAGGAGCCATTAGGGGAGCTCCTTTCCTTGTTTGTTGCCATGTCTTGTAATGATATTAAAAAGAGTAGAGTTTCCCTTGTCAGCTCTCATACCATGTTGGGCTGAGATAGCCCCTTAGGATCTTTGCAAGGGATAACTCTAGGTGAAGTAGTTGTAATAGCGGAAGCGTTTAGTGAAGAATTTGAACCGACCTTGCACTGGTGTGTGAGAGCAAAGTTGATTGAATTAAACAAGCAAATACAAGGATTTATATAAGAGTACAGGGAATAGATAGATAACTGTATTGCTGTTGCGGTTCGATATAGCGCGACTCGGGCAACTGCTCTGTAACGAGTCAGTTGTGTGTCCTTAACTGTCGCGCTGTAATTGTCGAGTCAAAGGTCAGCGACCTTTGACTTTCTCGTAACCTCCAGGCGGTTACCCTAACCTCCGAGGTTGACTCGATGCTTCGATTGGGACTGCTTCGCTTGGTACCTTGGATTTTGATACGACAGAAGCGCACTTAGGACTTATTGTTTCCAACATGATTTACGGTACCGTCCAGGTGCAGCTGCACAAGCAAACTGGGCCCAGTTTGTGATTGCGCTTTGGGTGCTGGGCTTTCATTGTAATTTCTACAAAACTAACCAAAAATACTGTACTGACAAAATCATTACAAAGGAAGAAAGCCATTTCTCTTTGATCACCTCTGGTCTACTACCGGTAACTCTATGGGATTAGCACATGTTTAAAGCGTGTATAGACATTTCCTCAAGCATTGAGTGTAATGCTTGGTCGAAGAGTGGCTACAATTTTGACTTCTCTGCAAGAAGCTTGAGTAAGATGGTGATGCTGGGGAGGTGGTAGTGCTTCCTGGGAACTGTAACCACCACATCCGGTTCTTCTCCCAGATGACTATGGGGTCTGCGGAACCACGAACCGAATTTTCGGAACCACGAACCGACCTTGCATAACAGCGAGGGAAAGCTGCTGAACCATCGAGTGAAGTTGCGGAAGAGTGAGGGGAAGTCGTTGAACCATCAAATGAAGTCGCTCGACCATGGAATGAAGTTGCGCAAGGGCGAGGGAAAGCCGTTCAACCATGAAGTGAAGTTGCGCAAGCGTGAAGGATAGTTGCTGAATCATGAAGTGAAGTTGCGCAAGAGCGAGGAAAAGAGATGGGAGGTTGGCAAGGCGGAACAACGAAGGCAGGTTGGCAAACAGACCAGGGATGTTAAGGTACAAAGGAGGGAGGTTGCGGAACAGGGAAGGAAGGTTGGCAAATGAAGCAGGGATGTTAAGTTACAAAGGAGTGAGGTTGCAGAACAGGGAAGGCAAGTTGGCAAACAAAGAAGGGAGTTTAAGGGAAAAAGGAGGGAGGTTGCGGAAAAGGGCAGGCAGGATGCCAAACAAAGCACGGAGGTAAAGGAACAGGGAAGGCAGGTTGGCAAACAGAGCAGGGAGGTAAAGGAACAGGGAACGCAGGTTGACAAACAAAGCAGGGAGGTTAAGGAACAGGGAAGGCAGGTTGGCAATTTGAGCAGGGAGGTTAAGGAACGGAGAAGGCAGGTTGACAAACAGAGCAGGGAGGTTGCGGAACAGGGAAGGCAGGTTGGCAATTTGAGCAAAGAGGTTAAGGAACGGAGAAGGCAGGTTGACAAACAGAGCAGGGAGGTTGCGGAACAGGGAAGGCAGGTTGGCGATTTGAGCAGGGAGGTTAAGGAACGGAGAAGGCAGGTTGACAAACAGAGCAAGGAGGTTGCGGAACAGGGAAGGCAGGTTGGCAATTTGAGCAAAGAGGTTAAGGAACGGAGAAGGCAGGTTGGCAAACAAAGAACGGAGGTTGACAACAGTGTACCCCTTAGCCACCATTCTTTTTCGCCACACGGGCCTCCTCAGCTGCTCTGCTACTATGGCCTCCGGGCAGCTGAAAAGCTTTGTAGGCGATGAATAAACTAGTGTGCGAAAATCTTGAAATAAAACACCCCAGGAGATTGTGGAATGATTGATAAAGATTCTTTCAAAATGAGTTGCGGGCTTCCTGAAAAGTAGTGAAACAAGAGGAAGGGAGAGAAAGGGGTGTGTTAGGAAACGTGTTAGTGAGGTGCCAGGTGCGAGTTAAGGTGTGAGTCAAGGTGTGAGTTGAGGCAACAAGAGAGGTGGCAAGATAAGTGTCAAGAGGTATCAGAAGAGGTGTCAATTCAGGTGCTAATTTTTGTGAAGTCCAATTCCCCTGCCCATCTGTTTGCAAAGAACGGAAGGTCCTAGGCAGAAGGCTTACCAGCAGTGGGTTGGAATAAGAACCGAGCTCCTCAAACTCCCTCAACCTACCTCAAAGTCCCTCAAAGTCCCTCAAACTCCCTCAAGCTCCCCCAAGCGCCACTTGAAGGATTTTGAGGTCGTGGAAAGGGCTGGGGGGGGGGGAGGAAGGGGGTGTGAGGGAGGGGAGGTAAATCAAGGAGTCCTTCCATACTCCAATTTCTCTTCCATGATTCCTGTTAGGAAAATGATTCAACTGGATGCGTCAATGTGTTGGAAATCAGAGTTGTTTACAAGGAGACACAGCTGATATCATGACTAATAGACCACCTGCTGGTCTGAAAAGAAACGTGAGATGTTGGGAGATGAAGAAGGAGATGTCACGAGGGCCCTTAGGTCCAGTCCACCATGTCCTAGAGCTCTTCCAACTGAGAGGGAGTAAAGACTTTTGAGGCGCCTCAAAAGTCGTCTCTTATCCCGATTTTTTTTAGGCGCCTCAAAAATCACGAAAGCCCTTAGGTCCAGTCCACCATGCCCTAGAGCTCTTCCAACTGAGAGGGAGTAAAGTCGGAAGAGGACGAGAGCGGGAGCAACAAAGGAAGTGAGGACGGGAGGGAGGAGGGAGGGAGCAAGGGAGGGAGTGAGGGAGGGAGTGTGGACGGGAGTGAGCGAGGGACGGAGGGTGTGAGGGAGGGAGGGAGCGTATGAGGGAGGGAGGGAGGGAGGGAGGGTGTGAGGGAGGGAGGGAGGGTGTGAGGGAGGGAGGGAGGGAGGCAGGCAGGGAGGGAGGGAGGGAGAAAGAGAGGGAGGGAGGGAGGGAGGGAGGGAGGGAGGGAGAGAGGGAGGGAGGGAGAGAGGGAGGGAGGGAGGGAGAGAGGGAGGGAGGAAGGGAGAGAGGGAGGGAGGAAGGGAGAGAGGGAAGGAGGAAGGGAGAGAGAGAACGAGGGAGGAGGCGAGGGAGGGAGCAAGGAAGGGAGCGAGGAAGGGAGCGAGGAAGGGAGAGAGGAAGGGAGCGAGGAAGGGAGCGAGGGAGGCAGTGAGGGAGAAATTGAGGGAGGAGAGGGAGGGAAAGAAGGTGAGCAAGCAATACGGCTTCTCAAAAGCAGAGAGAGGGGAGGAAGAAGCTAAGGGGGGTGGTGAAGAGAGAAGATGGAATGCAGCGGTGAAAAAAAAAAAAAAAAAAAAAAAAAAAAAACGAAGATACACAAACTAAGGTACGCGCAAATGGGTCAGATGTTCCAAACACTTCTCGCACTATTGAAAAGGGTGCGATTCGCCATTTCACACTACGAAAGCGCTTTGCGTCATTCCACACGCTGGGAGCCTACTCTGAAGATGCCAACAGATAAGGCTCAACCTAGCGCGGAGGTATTGGGAAAAGGGTATTTGTACCTTTCTTGAAAGGGTAAGAGCAGGCTGTGTGAAACACCGCGGCGCTGCCACGATCGGGACGGCCGGCGCCGAGAGTGGCAACGGCAGAGCCACGAGCGCAGGAGCCACGGAGGAACCGCGGAGGAACCGCGGAGGAGCCGCGGAGGAGCCACGCAGTAGTCGTCATAGAGAAGAGAGTAAAGAGTGTAGCCTCTCAACGGACGAGAAGAAGAAGAAAGTTGGACATACCCGAAGACAGAATCCATGATGGCGCATGAAACGGTACGGGTATTTTTGTCAGAGTGAAAGGCCCCGCCCTCGCTTGGGCGCAGGCATTCTGTGCGGCGACGTGGTGAATTCGACGAAGTGATCGTCGCATTGGATCAGCCCGTCCTCTGAACCAGCCTGTGGTTTTCGAGGAGGTTGTCCTCTGATTCACCAGCCAATCAACGAGCTCTGGTCGACGGGGTGCTGTTCGACGAGCTCGTCTTCTGATCTGCTTCTAGGTCGCGCGATCTCTGACGGATGGGGTGCTTTCCGAGGAGCCCTGTTCTCTGATCGAAGGGCGCTGTTCGGCGAGTCTCATCTCGGTGAACTGGCTGGCCGAATTCGCGCGATTGCGAAACTCTGCAAGGGCATGCGAAATTCGCTCAGGTGGCTCTTAGCAAAATTCGACCTGCAAAATGGCATCACGTGCTCGACGGTGGACACCTGACGAAACCGTCGGAGCGATTTCTACCTGGCACCTGCGCAATGTCTCTGACGGTGCAACCGTCTACCTGCACCTACTCGGCAGGTGCACACCTGCGCAGATATTCACCTGCGAATGCAGCGCTGGCAGGCCGCCCTGTTGCAGCGCTGGCATGTCGCCCTTCTGCTCCGCTGGCAGCCCGCTCTGTTTCAACGTTGGCAAATCGCTCTGATGCAGTGCTGGCAATTTGCCTTGCAGAATTCTTACTAGGGATTGCAATGCCATTCCAATGATATCACTTGCATGCTCTTCTTTGTACTCTAATTTTCTCAATTTTCAATGTTCTTTCAATTTCCTTAGTGGAAACTCTTGCCAAATCTCTTTGTGAACAGAGCAAGTAGTGAGAACTCCGATAGAACGCTACTAGAGCACTACGATCACCCACACAACTCCGTGCTCTCCTTCGTAGTCCACTCCCGTTGTAGGGTGACTCTCCACATGGTGCGGTGAGCGTGGAGGACCGGGGTTCGATTCCTGTTGTTGGCGACTTCCTGTGCCCTAGTGGTGGGCCCTCCTAGTGAGGGGAGTGCTGGAAGTGGACACTGGAATGGCCCGAAACATGCCCTTTTAGCCCAGTTGGTTAGCGGACTCGACATGGTGCGGTGAGCGTGGAACGACCCCGCGTTAGAGCCTTCAGATTAGCCGACTTCCGTGTTAATTACCTAAGTTGTAGTAGGTCGAGAACCGTCTAGACCGCCATGGTTGACCACGAGGAGGTCGCTGCAGGCGTAGAGGATACCCTGCAGGAGCGGTTAGATGACGTTCGGGCACGCCACGCAGCTGGCGAGTACGGCGGAGCAAACTTGGATGGTCTGCTCTTTGGAACCTGCGTGCAGTGGGCGCGCGGTCACCCAACGACCCGTACTGAGGCGGATGGTCCACCCGCCACTCCCCGACCGGCACACAACGAAGGAGGCGTCAATGACCAGGTCAACGGTGGTAACCAAGTTGACAGTGAAGGCAGCATACGGCTTCGTGGAGTGATTAGGGCCGCCGACGTTGGCGTCGGCGGAATGCAGGCGCGAGTTCAGCGCTCGACGACAGCGGGAAGTTCGAACGGCAACATCGATGGTCGTCGCCTTTCTCCTCAGCGGAGTGGAGCCAGGCCGACTTCAGCGACTCATGTGCCGGCTGTTCGCGACGGAGGCATCGCGCCGACGTACGGCTACTTCAAATTTTCACCGGACAAGATCGCTGTGCCGAAGCCGCTCGAAGGACGGCATGACTTGATCAAATAGATTGAGTCAATCGAACCCCAACTAGAGATTGCCGGATTGAAGAATTTCGTTGATGGCAAGGTGGAGATGCCAGACGAAGACGACTCGAATTGTTGGCGGAATTTCGCGCTGCTCACCTTTTGACTTTCATGGTCCTTTCACGGTGCTGTTCGCCATTGGTGCAAGTCGCGTTAAAGCCGTGCCGACTTCGTGTGGACGCCAGCTACCAAGCGTGGAAGTACATCATGCGCACCTACAAAGCGACCGGCGACCTCTACATCAGCCAACTGGAGAAGAAATTGGCCACCATTCGTATGGGCGAGCAGGAATCGGCGACCGAGTACTGCAATCGAGCGCGACGAATTTTGGCCGGCATGCAGATGGCTGGCTTCGAGTTCTTGGTGGCGTCATATGTCACGCATGTCATCAATGGCCTCCCCTTGAGCTACAATATGATGCGACGAATGCTGATCATGCCCGGCGCGCGGGAGACTCTAAACGAGGATTCGCTTTCGAGTCACATCATTCAGGACGAGTTTATGCAGGAGTCTGAGTGGCCTTCAGAGCTCCTTCCGAAGGCCAACTACATTGCTCCGACGAAGCAGGGACGTCAGACGTGGTAGCGTGGGAAGTCGGGCGGAGGAGGAGGCGGTGGCGGAAAGTCGTCGAATACGAAGTCAACGGAGGGCGCCGACCGCAGGAAGTCAGCGAAGGGCAATGATCGCGGTAGTAGTGGTTCGCGTCGAGGAGGACGTCGCTGCTACATCTGCGGAGACCCTGACCATCTCTCGTACGAGTGCCCTGATCGCGACGAGTCCGACGACGATCAGCGAGGAAGCCGCAGGAAGTCTGACAGCGAGCGTCGTCGTCGAGACCACCAGCCGCGCAAGGAGAAGCCAGCGAAACGCTGTCGAAAACGTCGTCGAAATCAGAGGAAGACACTTTGAGCGGCAAGGAAGCCTCTTGTTTGTTGGTTGGAGCGGTTGAGCCAACTATTTCGCTGGCGCCGGAGGCTGGAGAAGACTTCCAGGCGGTTGCTGCAGCGGTGCAGGCAAATCCGAGCGTGGTGCTTCTCGACAGCGGCTGCTCTCATCATCTGATGGGAACGCGAGAGGCCTTCGTCGACATGAAGCCAAGAGGTGAAATCCGTCATGTGCGCGGATACAACGGGCCGCTTAAGAATGTCGAAGGTCGTGGCACTGTTGCTCTGAAAGGGGAGACCGGAAAGGAGATTTTGATCCCTGACGTGTTGTACGTCCCGGGCGTGCAGGCGAATCTGTTGTCGGCTGGTCAGCTGAAGGAAACCGGCGTGAAGCTGCAGAATGAGAGTGACGAGATGCTGCTCGTTTCCACTGCAGGAGATGTGCTCGGTTGAGCACGCTACACCGGCCGAGTCCTCTGCACCGACCTCCGCCCCTGCTCCCCGAAATCGACTACATCTGTGACAGAAGCACTTGCTCTGCGGACGATCGCATCGGCGACAAAGTCCAAGCCGGTTAATGTCGAACTTATATGCTATAGTCTGTTTAGGCTGTAGTGGGGTAGTCAATATGGGGTACAACACTTTAGGGTTTCCTACTTGTACTCCTCATGCTGCTCAATGCAATCATTCCTTCCTAGTTTCTTCACATGGTATAGAGTAGGTTCCCTAGTGGGAACGCTTCTTGGGGCCCACCACGAATTTTTTTTTTCTGCCCGGAGCGCGCTTCGCTTCTGCCCGAGTCACGCCTCGTGTGCCCTCCCTACCGTCGCGTCCCTAGCCCCTAGCGGCCCGTCGCGCCCTCCTCAGGCCCCTAGCGGCCCCCTTTTCACGGCCCCTCTTGGCCCCTCCCACGGCCCCGTCGCCGTCCTAGCGGCCCCGTAGCCGCCCTAAGCGGCCCCGTCGCCGCCCTACAGGCCCCGTCGCCGACCCTTGCGGCCCCGTCGCCGCCCGAAGTGGCCCCGTTGCCGCCCTGTCGGCCCCGTCGCCGACCCCTTGCGACCCGGTCGCCGCCCTGTCGGCCCCATCGCCGACCCTTGCGGCCCCGTCGCCACCCTTGCGGCCCCGTCGCCGGCTCCTGCGGCCCCGTCGCCGCCCTATCGGCCCCGTCGCCGCCCTCGCCGGCCCCGTCGCCGACCCTGCCGGCCCCGTCCCCGCCCTCAGCGGCCCCGTCGCCGACCCTACCGGCCCCGTCCCCGCCCTCAGCGGCCCCGTCGCCGACCCTGCCGGCCCCGTTGCCGGCCCTCGCGGCCCTGTCGCCCCCCTCAGCGGCCCCGTCGCCTCCCTACCGGCCCCATTGCCGACCCTCGCGGCCCTGTCGCCGCCCTCAGCAACCCCGCCGCCTCCCTACCGGCCCCGTCGACGACCCTACCGGCCTTGTCGCCGCCCTCAGCGGCCCTGCCGCCACCCTACCGGCCCCGACGCCGACCCTCGCGGCCCCTTTCACGCCGCCAGCAGGCCAGCAGCCGGGGCGCCCAGCAGCAGAGCCGCCGAGCCGCCCAGCCGCCGCACCGCCAAGCTGCCCAGCCACTGCGCCGCCAAGCCGCCCAGCAGCCGAGCCGCCGAGCCACCCAGCAACCGAGCCGCCGAGCAGCCGAGCAGTCGAGCCGCCGAGCCGCCCAGCAGCCGAGCCGCCGAGCCGCCCACCAGCCGAGCCGCCCAGCAGCCGAGCCGCCGAGCCGCCCACCAGCCGAGCCGCCGAGCCCTCTTCCTTCCGGCGCACCCCGGCCCTACTTCCTTAGACTGGTGAGCTCCCTCCCTGATAGGCCACTGCAGTCATGGCTACCCCCAGTGTCCTTACCTTTGATACTGAGGGTCGTGCTGTTGACTTTGAGGTCTGGGTCGATGACCTCCAGCTGTTCTTACAGTGCGATAGGGCGGACGGACTCTCACTGTTCGATCTCACCTCTGGTGTCTCTCCTGCCCCGCCTGCTACTGCTGACAGCACTGTTTGCTCACAGTGGGCCACGCGCGATGCTGCTGCACGCCTTGGTGTGCGTGGCCACTTACCGACCACTGAGCGTGCGCACTTTAGCCTGCACAAGAGTGCTAAGACCTTGTACGACGCTGTAGTTGCACGCTACTCTTCCCCTGCCACTGCTGCACTTAGCCGCCTCATGCTACCGTACTTGTTCCCTGACCTTGCTGCCTTTCCCACTGTCGCTGACCTCATTACGCACCTTTGCACTAGTGACACTCGCTACCGCGCTGCGCTTCCCGCTGAGTTCTGTGCCAAGAACCCCCCCCCCCATGTACATCACCCTCTACTACATAGTCACCCGACTCCCTTACTCCCTTCGCTTAGTCAGGGACCACTTCCTCTCGGTTTGCCCTACCACACTCACCGTTGGCCTCCTCGAGGAGCACCTCCTAGCAGTAGAGAAGAGCATAGTTGCTGTAGGAGCCTCCCGTGGTGACCCTCGCACCCCCGTCTTTGAGGGGTGTTATCCCTCCCCCCTCTTGCCCTCTGTTGGTTCTGCTGCTGCGGCCGACCTCGTTGGTTTCGAGTCAGTCGGCGCTGCGTCTGCCACTTCGGGGAAGCGCCGCATAGGCAAGGGCAAGGGTGGCAAGGGCGCTGGAGGGGCCAGTGGGGGCGGTGGAGGTGGTGGTGGAGGCAGTGGAGGGGGTGGGGGTGGTGGTGGGAGTGGTGGCGGGGCCGGAGGTGTCGGTGGAAGCAGTGGAGGCGGAGGAGGCGGTGGCGGTGGCGGAGGGAGCGGAGGCGGCGGTGGTGGAGGAGGCGGCGGAGGCGGCGGAGGCGGCAAAGGTGGCGGTGGAGCTGGTCGCGGCTCTGCGCAGAGGAGTGGCTCCGGTGGTGGTTCGCGCCAGCAGCAGCAGCGCGGCCGTGAGACCCCGTCACCTCAGCAGCTTCGTGAGTGGTACGCTGGGCATCAGCGGGGTGGGGGTACTGGTCCCTGCACCTACGTTCTCCGTACAGACGACCGCGCTGGTGAGCAGTGCGGTGGCTCGCACTCCACCCAGCGCTGCTTCGGCCGCCTGACGGATGCTCGGCGTCATCAATTCCCTGACGCCACTCAGATCCCTCGCTGGGGAGAGCTGTCTAGGGCAGGGGTAGCTATCTTTGATCTTGACTTTGATGCTATTCTTGCTGCCATGTATGTTGTGTCTACTAGTGATGAGGGTGACTGTTACCTGTATGTTCCGCCTGACCCGGGCATTGAGGCTGCTGCTCTAGGTGCTGGTGAGGCTGCTATTCCAGGTGCTAGTGCGTCTGCTGCCTTAGGTGTTGGTGAGTGGAGCTGATCTGCAGGATCAGGCGGTTCACCAGTTCACACCTGCGAGTCAGCGGGTGACCCACTGTACGTGTGCTCGGACGGGCCGACACTTGGCCACGTTTACCCGTCAGCCGGGGTCGAGCATGTACACACTGACCACTGAGTCTCCTCCTGTTCCTGCGTCTGGTCAGGTAGCTGCGTCGAGTCAGGTGTTTGCTGTAGCGTCCAGGTCTGGTCCTGAGTCTGCGCCCTGCTCGTGTCGTCTCTTGTCCCACCAGACTCTCCTTTGGCACCACCGCCTTGGTCACCCCTCCCTGCCTCGTCTCCGAGGCATGGCCTCTCGTGTCCTTGTCCCTGGTCTCCCCCGGTCTCTCCCTCCCCGACCTCCGGGGCCTGCCCCTACATGCGTCCCCTTCGTCGAGGAGCGGCAGCGCGCTGCTCCTCACTCCTCCGAGTTTCCTCCGACAGAGGCTCCACTGCAGACTCTTCACATGGACGGGTGGGGCCCCGCCCGCGTCCGTGGCCAGGGTCACGAGCGTTACTTCCTGTTGGTGGTTGACGACTATTCGCGTTACACCACAGTGTTCCCCTTGCGAAGCAAGGGTGACGTCAGTGAGGTGCTGATTGAGTGGATCCGCGCAGCTCGTCTCCAGCTCAGAGAGAGTTGCGGTGGACTGGAAAGGTTGGCGATGCGTCTGCGTTTCGGGTCTGGGGATCTCGGGCGTTTGTCCGCAACTTGTCTGCGGACAAGCTGTCCCCCCGTGCTGTTCCCTGCGTCTTCCTTGGCTTCCCCCCTGACGCGCCTGGTTGGCAGTTCTACCACCCCACCTCGCGCCGTGTTCTGTCCTCCCAGGACGTCACCTTTGACGAGTTGGTGCCTTACTACCGTCTCTTCCCCTACCGCACTGCGCCCCTCCCCCCGCCGCCGCTCTTTCTTGCACCAGGTCCTCCCCCGGTAGACGCCCTCCCCCCTCAGGGTCCTGCCCCGTCAGGTGTGTTCCAGGTAGACGCAGTCGAGCCTGTCGAGGTAGCTGTTGAATCTGGTGCTGCGAGGGGCGCTGTGCCTGCGGGTGCCGGGTCTGGGGGTGCGGAGCTTGGGGGTGCTGAGTCTGGGGGTTCTGAGACTGGGGGTGCGGAGCTTGGGGGTGCGGAGCCTGGGGGTGCTGAGCCTGGGGGTGCGGAGCGTGGGGGTGCTGAGCCTGGGGTTGCTGAGCCTGGGGGTGCGGAGCCTGAGGGTGCTGAGCCTGGGGGTGCAGAGCCTGGGGGTGCTGGGTCTACTCGTGTGGCCACTGGCGGTGCTTCGTTGAGGCGGGAGCTACTCTCTCCGCAGGAGCTGCGCGAGTGGTTTGCCGGGCACTGGAGCCGTGCTGCTGGAGCTGGAGGTACTACTGTGACTGCTGGTTCTGGGGGTGCTCGTCCTGGCGGTTCTGGAGCTGATGAGACTCGGCGTCATGCTGGAGGTGCTACTGGAGCTGGTGCTGCTGGATCTGCTGGAGCTGGAGCTGCTGGAGCTGGAGCTACTTGGGGTGTTGGCGCTGGTGGTTCTACTGGCGCTGGTGCCTCTGAGGGTGCTAGAGTTGGCGCTGTTGGAGCTGGAGGTGCTGCTGGCGCTGGTGCTGCCGCTGGGGGTACTAGTGCTGTCCCTGCTAGTTCTGGAGGCGCTGCGCGGCCGAGACCGTACTTCGTTTCGCTCATTGAGCAGGTTCTTGGTCTCTCGCCCTCTAGTGGTTCTGCTCCTCCCTTAGTGTGTCCACAGCCTGTCCACTCGCGGTCACAGTTACAGCCTGCCTCCCCGCTGCTGGCTCCTTCTCCCTACACAGGTCCTACTGGAGGTCTTGAAGAGCGTCGTGAGCCTGCGTCTCGTCCTGCGTCGCCTGTTCGTGCTGCTCGTGCTAGTGGTGGTGCTCCGCGTCCGCGTCCTCCTGCGGTCCCCGGCACACACCAGATGGCACTACGTCCTTCCACTGCTCCTCTTCGTGTCCCGTTGCCATCTCCTCCAGAGTCCTCTCTTCCTACTCTTGGTGACCCTGAGTCTGACTCTCTTCGTGCTGCCAGTCCTACTGTCACGCGTCTCCTGGCTACTGTTGTCACTGACCCCTCTTTTGCGTCTACTGCTGTGACTGCCTTAGTTACTGAGCTTGTTGACTTTGCTGCTCGCTGTCGTTTAGACTACGCTGCTAGTCTTGTTGCTGAGTATGAGTCTGTCTGTCCTCCGTCCGTCGGGGGTGAGTGTGCTCTTAGCACGGACGTCCTTGAGGACACACAGGAGGAGTTCTAATGCTTTGCTCCTGCTTTGCCTCATCTCGTGTCCACGCTGATTGCCCCTGAGGGAGACCCGGATGCACCAGACATCCCGACTCCTCGATCGTAAGCTGAGGCGATCGAGGGTCCCTACTCCTCTAAGTGGCAGTCAGCCATGGACGCAGAGATGGCTTCCTGGAAGTCCACAGGCACTTACGTCGACGAGGTTCCCCCACCTGGGGCGAACATCGTCAGTGGCATGTGGATTTTCAGGGTGAAGCGGCCGCCGGGTTCTCCGCCTGTCTTCAAGGCGCGTTACGTGGCTCCAGGCTTCAGTCAGCAGCAGGGAGTTGACTACTTTCAGACCTTCTCTCCCACCCGGAAGATGGCCACTCTTCGGGTGCTGCTGCACATAGCCGCTCAGCGCAACTACGAGCTTCACTCTATTGACTTCAGCACAACTTTCCTGCAGGGCAGCCTGCACAAGGAGATTTGGCTGCGCCGCCCACCTGGCTTCACTGGGTCGTTCCCTCCTGGTACCCAGTGGAGCCTCCGGCGGCCAGTCTACGGTCTCCGCCAGGCGCCCCGTGAGTGGCACGACACACTGAGGACTACACTTGCGGCTCTTGGGTTTGCTCCTTCTACTGCTGACCCGTCGCTGTTTCTGCGCACCGACACCTCTCTGCCGCCGTTCTACATCCTCGTGTACGTCGACGACTTGGTCTTTGCCACTGCTGACACTGCTGGACTCGCCTACGTGAAGTCCGAGCTGCAGAAGAGACACACGTGCACTGACCTGGGTGAACTGCGCAGCTACCTTGGCTTGCTGATCACCCGGGACAGAGCACAGTGCACCATTACCCTGACTCAGTCACACATGGTGCAGCAGGTCCTTCAGCGCTTCGACTTCACGTACTCCTCGCCTCAGGCCACTCCTCTGTCTACTCGCCACTCGCTCTCAGCTCTGCCTTCGGATGAGTCCGTAGAGCCGACTGGCTCGTACCTAGAGCTTGTTGGCTGCCTCATGTACCTGATGACCTGCACACGACCTGACCTAGCATACGCTCTTAGCATCTTGGCACGCTATGTGGCTCCTGGGAGACACCGACCATAGCACATGGCTGCAGCGAAGAGGGTGTTGCGCTACTTGTGCAGTACGTCGGGCATGGGGCTAGTGCTTGGAGGGCGACGTCCATTGGTCCTCACAGGTCACGCAGACGCTTCTTGGGCTGACAACCAGGCTACGCAGCGATCGTCACAGGGTTACACCTTCAGCCTTGGTCCGGCTCTGTCTCGTGGCGGTCTACACGCTCGTCTTCGGTTCTCGGCTCCAGCTGTGAGGCCGAGATCTACGCAAGGGCCATGGCTTCACAGGAGCTCCGCTGGCTCACCTACCTGCTGACTGACCTTATAGAGCAGCCTCGTTCTCCTCCAGTTCTGTACGTAGACAACAAGGCCATGCTGGCCCTGTGTCGGGAGCACAGACTGGAGCACAGAACGAAGCACATTGCTCTCCGCTACTTCCTTGCTCGTGAGCTGCAGCAGCGCGGTCAGCTGCACCTTGCTTACGTGGCCTCTGAGGCCAACACTGCTGATATCTTTACCAAGGCACTTCCGCCTTGTGATCATCAGCGCTTTTGTACTTTGCTAGATCTTGTGCCTACTTGGCCTCACTTGCTCACCTCTTGACTTTGCTTCTACTGTGATCTATATATACCTGCACTTGCATGCTTACCTTTGCTAGGTTGAGATCACTGCCTTGCTTGTTCTTCTTGCTATATAACTCTCCATGTGAACTGGCCTTGTGGCCTTGTGCTTGTGCTCAGATTGTGTGGTGACGCTGTGATCCACCCTGGGCTTACCTTGCTTCTCTTGACTGGTCTTGTGACCCCTTGTTCTCCCCCACTTTGCCTATGGGGGTGTGTCGAACTTATATGCTATAGTCTGTTTAGGCTGTAGTGGGGTAGTCAATATGGGGTACAACACTTTAGGGTTTCCTACTTTTACTCCTCATGCTGCTCAATGCAATCATTCCTTCCTAGTTTCTTCACAGTTAAGTGGCACGCGAGGCTTGCGCATGTCGGCATTGACACAATTATGAGCTCGGCGAAGCATGGAGTTGCCATCGGTCTTTACATTAAGAAGTCAACTGGAGCCGATGTGCCGTGCACCTCGTGTGTCGGCGGCAAGCTGGCGCGTCATACTTTTCCGGAGAATGGATCGGACGCTGAAACCGCGCTCGAAATCGTGCACATTGACCTTTGTGGCCCCTTTCGCGTGGCCGCCATGGATGGGAGCCTCTATTTTCTCCTCCTCAAGGACCGCAAGACTCGCTTTGTGTGGGTCCGTCCGATCGCGAAAAAGAGCGACGTGCTCGGAGTGTTCGAGAAGTGGCTGAAGGAGGTGGAGCGGCAGACGTCGAAGTCGGTGAAACGGCTGCGCTCTGACTGCGGAAGGGAGTTCCTCGGTAGGGCGTTCACTGACCTGGTCGAGGACAAGGGTATCTTCTGCAACCTCACCTGCCCCTACACTTCGCAGCAGAATGGCATGGCGGAGCGGGAGATGCGCACAATCGTCGAAGCTGTGCGGACGATGCTGCTTCACATGGGGGTGAAGCATCGCTGGTGGCACCTCGCCCTTCGCCACACCGTCTGGGTGTGCAAATGCCTCGAACGGGCTTCACTTCCTCCGAGGACGACGCCGTACAAGCTGCTATTCGAGAAGAAGCCGGATCTCATGCTGGCGCGCGTGTGGGGCTGCACGGTGCAGTTCATGATCCCGGAGCAG